GGCCGTGTGGTGGCCACCGACGTGATCCAAAACGGGGACTGGATCTACCAGCTGCTGGTGCTGCTGGAAACACCCCTGGTATGGGGTCACCTCCCCTGCCAGGTGGAGCACGTCAGCCTGGAGCAGCCCTGAGCCGGCACTGGGGTGTGACCCAGACCCAGAGCACCCGGGGGAGTAAGGGAGGCACTGGGTGGGCTGGGAGGGGGACTGGGATGTGCTGGGAGTAAAAGGGACGGGGTTGGAGTTAAGCTGGTTTAAACTGGGAGAAGGGCTCAGGGGTGTGGATGGGTGTGAAGGAAGGGTTTGAAGGATATTGGGGAAGGTGGGTTGGGGTTACAGGGGTTCTGGTGGGTACTTGGAGGGAGCTTGTGAGTACTGGGAGTAACTGGGAGTAACTGGGATGGAGTTTGAGGGAGCCTGGAGGGCTGGAAGGAGATTTGGCTTGGAAAAGGGAGTGTCGGAATGAGGTTGGTTGTTCTGGCAAGATACTGGAGGGGTCTCAGTGTGTCCTGGTGGGGCTGGGAAGGGACTGGGGGAGGTTTCAAGGGGTCCTTGGTGGGCTGGGGATGATTGGGCGAGCGCTGGGAGAGGCTCAGGATGTCCGTGAGAGGTTTTTGGGTGTCCTGATCCCAGTGGATCCCCCAGAGATGGTACCAGACACTGCCTGCAGCAAGATGCTGACGGGGATCGGGGGCTTCGTGTTGGGCTTCGTCTTCCTGGCACTGGGGCTTGGCTTCTGCCTCCATAGGAAGGTGGCGGGGGTGGATTTCGGGGGTCGTGTCCCCCCTCCGCCGGACCGCGTGCGCTCCCACCAGGCCCCAGCCCAGTGTCACCCCCTTTTCTCTGCCCACAGAGCTCCTGAGGCGGTGGCAGCTGAGGACCGGGCCCAGCCGGGACCCCCGCTCCATTCCCTGATTTTGGGGTGGGGATCGTGTGTCCCCCCCAGCCCCGCTGTCACTCTGTCCCCGCCCGGCTGCTCCCAGTGTTCCCAGTAAAGCTTCCCAGTTCACCCCGGTCCGGTTTAGTGGGGGGCAAT